GTAATAACAGAACTTATAACATTTGAGTCGCAATGGCAGTGAACTTCCAGACTGCCCTTCAGCACGCCTATTAGTGTGCAAGCTGCACAATCTACGCAGCGGAGAGGCGAGATGCAGTTAAATGGGGCAAGCCGATGTAGCTTAGTAGGCACCAGACTTCTCTGCTTCGGTTTGCTCTATTGTTCACTACTGCTTTAACTTAGGTGTGAAGGTTGCGCAATGCGATGTAAAGTGGCGGATGTATTGTGAGGAGAGTACCGCCTTCCTTATTCCTCAACTTATGTTTATGTGTATCTTAAAAACATTAGAGTAAAGGGGTACATTGTGAATGATGCGGTATGTAGGACTAGTCTTTTTGTTACAATCGCGACATGATTGCATTTGTTTCACTTGAGTACTTGACTGCACCGACTATAAGGATAATACTTTGGAATACTTTCTTGACAAATGCTACTTTTGTTCAAATTACTACCTCAATATTGCAAATGAAATATTTTATCGTGCTAATAAAGTTACGTTCAGGGAAAATAAAAGTGCTTTTTGGAAAAGTTGGTTGCCAACATTTTGCACCTTAAAATATGCACAATTGTTTGGACCTAGCAGTTTGTCTTAACTAATTTTTTTCAAAAACTAGCATGCATCAAGTAGAACAATTGCCTGAGAGACCTGCTAACTTTGATTGTTAATGGCAATGAGTTTTAGGGAAAACTAAAAAATCTTGTGCCTTGTATTACCCAAACCAGTTCCACTGGCATATCAAGTTATTGATCCCGATCACTGAAGAAAATTATGCTCTATTTATTCCATTTTGATTGGTCAAGGCCGATTAGATTTAATCTGACGATCCCAGAGGTACTATGGATTCTCTAGGGGAGGAAAATTCAGGTTCTTCCGTAAAAAGTCTTCCATCACTTTAAAAGCGACTTTCCTAGAATGCATAATGTCTTCACTCAAAGCATTTTTGCGACACACTGGTGTGAGGTCAGTTGTATTATCTGTCGAACGAATAAATTGAGACATTTTATTGTTCGCAATCTAAACAAAACTGTTAAGCTCAAAGCGCTATGAATTGCTCAAAAAGGTTGTACTGAAAATTTGTTAAATTTCAGATACTTTTCCATTATTAATGACTTGTGAATGTGCTCACTCCACATTTGCTGTAAGTAGTGCATTACCTCTACTTCTGCTTATTTGTACATTGTTACCATCTTTTATTCAGCCTTCTTAGAAGGTCATTTGAATGCCGAAATGAGGAATAACATCTGTTCCTATGTATACATGGATGCACATTCATCTAATGTCTTATAGAAAGCGGGCCTCTTTAACAGATAGGATCTCATATCTATCAATGGAGCTACCCAATAATGTTAATCGAACCCAAGTCTACCGATTTAATAGGAACGCAGGAATTCGCCCACCTAGAAGTATCACTTAAATAACGGTGCAAGAGGTGATCTATCTGCATTTTCCTCCAAAAGCAGTATTTAAGGAGCTATGCGCATCTTCTTAACTGGATAAATCACTACACCACCAACTGGATAATAAACACTCCTCTCTTGCATCAATGCAACTCTATTGCTTGTGATGCGTAAACGAGGTCATAGGATTAAAAAAAGAATATGAACCCACGTTTTCTAGTATTTATGAGCTTGAAAACACATTCAGGATTAACTCGTCCCTGATATCAGTGCTTCACTAAATTAATTAGCTCTCCTGAAACTCCTAGTATGGTGAATCATATTAGCTTCTTTAAACTACGAAAGGATTAATGAATTGCACCAAAGTCAGGTTTCTCCTTCGTAGGACTCAAACCTTTTAATTTAATCATCGAGGTTGGTAGGCAATCGTTCGTTCTCCTCGTACATTAGCAGCAGCATCTTCTGGTTGACTAAAGCAAAGTAAAGAAAGTCCTAAGAAGAGCCATCTACTGAGCTTGCCTTCACATTTGATTAGTCCACTGACAGACAATTCGCAAATTCGAGTTTATGAATGCTCATGAGGTCC